GAGAAACACTAACTCTGCTAATGAAGTTTGTCATGTGACAGAGAAACACTAACTCTGCTGATGAAGTTTGTCATGTGACAGAGAAACAATAATTCTGCTGATGAAGTTTCTCATGTGACAGAGAAACACTAACTCTGCTGATGAAGTTTGTCATGTGACAGAGAAACACTGACTCTGCTAATGAAGTTTGTCATGTGACAGAGAAACACTAACTCTGCCGATGAAGTTTGTCATGTGACAGAGAAACAATAATTCTGCTGATGAATTTTGTCATGTGACAAAGAAACCTTAACTCTGCTGATGAAGTTTGTCATGTGACAGAGAAACATTAACTCTGCTTATGAAGTTTGTCATGTGACAGAGAAACATTAACTCTGCTGATGAAGTTTGTCATGTGACAAAGAAACCTTAACTCTACTTATGAAGTTTGTCATGTGACAAAGAAACCTTAACTCTGCTTATGAAGTTTGTCATGTGATAACTCTGCTTATGAAGTTTGTCATGTGACAGAGAAACATTAACTCTGCTGATGAAGTTTGTCATGTGACAAAGAAACCTTAACTCTGCTTATGAAGTTTGTCATGTGACAGAGAAACCTTAACTCTGCTGTTAAGTTTGTCATGTGACAGAGAAACACTGACTCTGCTGATGGAGTTTGTCATGTGACAGAGAAACAATAATTCTGCTGATGAAGTTTGTCATGTGACAGAGAAACAATAATTCTGCTGATGAAGTTTGTCATGTGACAGAGAAACAATAATTCTGCTGATGAATTTTGTCATGTGACAGAGAAACACTAACTCTGCTGATGAAGTTTGTCATGTGACAGAGAAACAATAATTCTGCTGATGAAGTTTGTCATGTGACAGAGAAACAATAATTCTGCTGATGAAGTTTGTCATGTGACAGAGAAACACTAACTCTGCTGATGAAGTTTGTCATGTGACAGAGAAACACTAACTCTGCTTATTTGATGTGAGAAAGAAACCTTAACTCTGCTTATGAAGTTTGTCATGTGACAAAGAAACATTAACTCTGCTGATGAAGTTTGTCATGTGACAAAGAAACCTTAACTCTGCTTATGAAGTTTGTCATGTGACAAAGAAACCTTAACTCTGCTTATGAAGTTTGTCATGTGACAAAGAAACCTTAACTCTGCTGATGAAGTTTGTCATGTGACAGAGGAACACTTATTCTGCTGATGAAGTTTCTGACAATTAAACACAAATATTGCCTATAAAGTTCTTTCTGTTTTTAGGAAAATAAACAACACAAGTCTTCAGTTTATATAAACACATTCTGTGTTTTACTGTCAGTTCACAATCACCATCACTTAACATTCTCTGTGAAATACATAGAAATTAATGAAAATAAATTACAAATGATTAATGCCATATTTACATGAAAGCACTGCATGGAAATGTTTTTTTCTACAAAACATCTGACCAAATCCATAACAAACATCTACTTCCTGTAGACATCCTACGTCCAGTCTTCTTTTACGTACAAAGGGAGATAAGCATTTCAATTTAACATTTAACTTTCATTTTCAGTTTTTTTTTCATATGCTGCTTGTATCAAATATCAAACTTTGATTTTCATCTTTTTGCATACATTTCTGTTTACCAAATAATAACAAACATTAAATTTTGTGAAAACCCTGTTAACTTCAACAAAACATACAAGTCTTCAAAATAGTGGAAGAGTTTCAAAATAATGTAGAGTATTCTAAGGGTAGATTCACCAATACAAGTGTGATATGTGTTACAGATATAGCAAATGAGAAGTTATTTATAAATATGTATACCACCTTTGCATGTAAGATCTACTGAACTGCTAACAAAACAACCCTCCTCATGCCTCACTCAGACAGCTGACATAGTATTGCACAGAAAAACAAACATCAACAATATTAATACTTTATAATGCTTCCTACAGTTATCGACTCTCTTTGGTATTACTTCCAAACATTAGAAAAATAGAATACTATATAGCGCCCTCTAGGTAAAACATCAATCACTCACAATTTAACTCACAAGATTTTAAAGAGAAAAGCAGAAATAGATTGAGAAAGGTCATTAGCACTTAGTTGATTAAAGGTCTTTTTTTTTCAAGATACTGTGTTTATCTTACAATGAGCCTGGTAATAAGCGAACCCACGTCTATTGCACTTCAGTTAAAATGCAAACAGACATGATTTCAGTCAGGAGTATTTGCATTGGCTCCCTGGGCTTTTTACGGGATGAATATGGTAAGTATGTCCAAAGTGATGAAGATCCAACCAACAATTATACACATCAAACATCCACTCAATGATCACCGTAAAAAAATGTTTCTTTATCTGGTCCTTATTGATATGAACAGTTGTGATCAGTTAACACTCACTAAAGATTTTAATACAATCACCAAAAACCTTCATATGTCCCTAAATCAGAATTTTTCCTTCCAGAAGTGATGTACACATAATATGCTAAACCTCATATTTTGTCAGATTAAACTGATTTCAGTACCGTTGCCTACCATGTTGTTGAACCAGCACTGTTTCCCAACATGTTGAACTAAGTTTGACCTATTTTATGGGGTAATTTGCCCAATTAAGGTGAAATGCTACTAACCTGATGAAGTATTAGTGGTGTTGACACCTATAGATGCCATCCTATATATTAGACAGGATATAACTGTCAAAACCAGTTTTCCCTTTACCATTGTCCTGTTTTAATTTGAATAATATTATTAATACATAGACAAATTTATACAGGGACACACTTAAAAAACCCTCCAGAACAATAACCTATTGTTGAAGGTAATTATACATATAAATATAATTTTGAAATCATAAACTTCCTCATTTAAATGGACTGATAAACAAACATGTTATAGTGACAGACTGATTTCAGTTTTAAACTGCTATGAGGCACTTAGTGTACCAGCTGATTAGCTTTTGGAATTGCAAGTTATCATTTAAGGTCATTACTCTAGGGTTAAAGGTCAAAGGTTATCAATTTATCATATGGTATGAGAACATGAGATTTACTTCCATCTGCTTACATTGAGTCAGAGTAGCATTTTTTACTCAAATTTGCACATCACTTTGGAAATATTGAAATCTAACATTTAAAAAAAGGCATGCACTTCATGCTTCATTATGACAATAAGACATAAATACAATAGAAAGAGAAAATTCAAAGAAACACTAATATTTCTGTAATATAAAAACATGCCACTGAAAAAACTTAATTTATTAAGGAAAGGTTAATGTATTTATTGAAAACTTTACAACACAAAGTAAATTCTATGAAAAATGTATGTAGTTTTATCAAATTTAGAAGACCAAAGCATTTCACATACAACATAAAGAATTGAAAAAGGAAAACTAGAAAAAAGATACTTCTGTTTTGGATCTTAGAATTCAAAGATAATCTGAGAGAAAAGTTTATATAAAAAAAAGTGCACTATGAATTATTTGTTTCAGCATTGCAAATAAGGAACAAGGATTTACGACGCATTAATTAACAAATTCCAAAAAATTGTCTCTACTGATATTCTTATATATAGTAGTTTAAAATGTAAAGTAGAGTATGCCCAGTTCTTTGTTCTAGAATGAAGCTCACTGAGCATACCAAGTTCTTCATTCTAGAATGAAGCTTACTGAGCATGCCCAGTTCTCCTTTATTTTAGAATGAAGCTTACTGAGCATGCCCAGTTCTTTGTTCTAGAATGAAGCTTACTGAGCATGCCCAGTTCTGCTCTGTTCTTGAATGACACAGACTGAGTATACCCAGTTCTTTGTTCTAGAATGAAGCTTACTGAGCATGCCCAGTTCTGCTCTGTTCTTGAATGACACAGACTGAGTATACCCAGTTCTTTGTTCTAGAATGAAGCTTACTGAGCATGCCCAGTTCTGCTTTGTTCTTGAATGACACAGACTGAGCATGCCCAGTTCTTTGTTCTAGAATGAAGCTTACTGAGCATGCCCAGTTCTTTGTTCTAGAATGAAGCTTACTGAGCATGCCCAGTTCTGCTCTGTTCTTGAATGACACGGACTGAGTATACCCAGTTCTTTGTTCTAGAATGAAGCTTACTGAGCATGCCCAGTTCTGCTCTGTTCTTGAATGACACAGACTGAGCATGCCCAGTTCTTTGTTCTAGAATGAAGCTTACTGAGCATGCCCAGTTCTTTGTTCTAGAATGAAGCTTACTGAGCATGCCCAGTTCTTTGTTCTAGAATGGTGATACAGAGAAAAGATCTCCAGTGATTGTCCTACTTTCATCCACTACATTTCTATACCACTTTCTTAATCCTATTTTACTTATGATATCTCCCATACACATGCAAGCACACTGGCAATTTTCTCACTTTGAATAGTCAAACATTCACACAGATTTCCAGTCACCCATCTTGTCTCTCCCATTGCATTGCATCTACACAATACATGTACACTTTAATGCTTGCTAACACTAGGAAAGTCCATATGTGTATATCAATTATTATATACGGACAAATATCATCACAGAGTTGGCCGTCTTTGATTACACAATGAATGTCACATCCTTCAACAGACATGTCTCTACATCGGTGGTTGCACTGGAAGTATTTGTTTCACTTGTCCAATGGAAACATATTACTTGAAATTCAAACAAATATTTTCTTTTAACATCTTGTATTTCTTCATACACAAACAAATGCACTTTTGTGTCCTGGTATGAAAGTTACAAAATGTTTGTAGAAACTTTGCACGATGATGTGCACATTTTTGTAGATCAATCATTTTTAACGTCAAATAAATCTTCTTATTGCAGCACAATTAATTTATTTCACGTCTTGCCAATATTGCAACATTGACCCTTGAACTATTGAGGCAAGGGCATTTAACTCATGAAGGAGGTTATTGTCTTACACACGATTCACTAATTCACTTGTGGTGTCAAAACCTTACTGTTCTGTGTTTTATTTCATATCAATGATTTTTTTTCTAAAAAATCATCACAAGTGTCAAACAGGCCCACTGGGTTCATCATTTATCACAACCGACATCAGGTGCTTGGTTACTTTCTCCAGCTTTTTGTCTGTTTCAATAATGAACTTTAAATGACATTATATTCCTTTACTTTTTTATTGTCAGTTTCAATAATCTATATAAAGTATATCTAAAGCCATTAGGTTACTCCTGTTGTTTTTCTTTGTCACAACCTTGTTGAGAGCTAATTGTGACAGTATCACAAACACCTTGCACAACTTTGGAAATTAGGCAAGTTTTGTTTTATTCCAAAGCTTTGCTTAATTGAAAGTTTTTCGGAGATAAAACTTTTCCTCATCTAACGGCCACAATAGAGCAGGTCTCTTCCAATTTGTACCAAAGGTAATGATATGGATATGAAGAAGGCATAAGTGATCACAGGTTTTTTCAATCTGATAATTTGTATTACGCACTTGTTGATTGCCTAAGTACAATGACTGGTACATGGAAGTGTATCCTTAGGATTTATAGTTACCGTTCCCGTGGTAACCAAACACAAGTTACTATTGCAACTTTTTTAATAAAGTCACGTGGTTTCAGTAAGAATACATATGTTGTGAAGAGTGGGGATTATTTCTACTCTGGGAAACCGATGATATGTCGGTATAAAAGTCAATACTATGGTTTTTTGATAACTTTTCTCGACTGCTTTGTATTAAATGTGGGTTGTGTACACCTGTATACATGTCTCTGATATTAACATTTTGCATTGGGTTGATGTGTAAGTTCGTGGCAGGATTGTTCTGAAGTGGAGGATAGGGTTCTGTCTCATGTGTTGGCACAGGATTAAACCTTGTGTTTCTTGTATTAGAGTTTGAAGAATTATTGCAGCTTTTCCGTTTTTGTAAAAGAATGATTGCCATGACGACTATGATGATGATGATACATGTAGGAACTGCAATCATCAAAGGGAGACTACTGCTTCCACTGTCTGAATCCAATGATGACCTGTGGGGATTGGCTGAAAAAAAAAGAAAAAACATTATTAAAAAGTATGTTTATATTTTTAAAGAAATGTTTTCATTAGATTTTTTACTCATTATTTTTAATGTTAATCATAATTGTAATAAGGCAATTTGGTGTAATTTGATCGTTCATGATTATTACAATGCGATACCCGTGGTCTTATGATCGGAGATAAGAATGTGCTGTACTTACTGTTGACGACAGTGAGATATGCGCTTCTGACATTGTAACCCATGGCGTTGGCCCCCAGACAGATATAGACTCCAGAGTCACGGTCTCGAGCCTTCTGTATTACTAGCTTGTTAAGGTAGGTATTATCAGGGCCTGGCCAAACTTCTCCTGTTTTTAATACGATAAACTGCTGACCACCCAAGCGTAATGTTGTGTTCATGTTCTTCACCTCTGATGGATCGTCTACTCGCTTCAACCACTGAAAAAATGACAAATTAACTGTTTTTACTATCAATAATCAGCCAATTTAACAAATTTCATCGTATAAGGTAGAAAGATAGAACATTTGTGTTCTAATATTTGGTTAAGAAATTCCTGAATTCAGTTCTGGACTCCTTTACATAAAACTTGATTTACTATCTAAAATTGTTTGAGTTTGATTGATCAGATTTCAATTGAGCTGATTTAATCTCTTTAACATATAATACATTCCATACAGGTTTGATATCAAAATAATCTAAGGGCCACAACTCCAGATTTAATGAATTACAAATTTTTGTAGGACACTTTCCCAGATACAATATACAAAGTATGGAGTACAACATTGAAGGAATTACAGTTAATTTTCTTTAATGAGGTTATATAACTGACCTGTATATGTGGTTGTACGACACTCTCTACTTTACACTGAAGTGAAGCTGTTTCACCATACTCAACCGTAGTGTTGAGGGGGTGGGGCTTCAGAAGTACTGGCTTCTCATTAAACTTCTCTGTCAACAAAAGTACAACCAAAAAAATGAAATAATGCAAAAAAGAGTCAATTCAACAATAAATAATTTTGAAGTGTCATTTCAATTTTAAATCTTGTATCAAAACATATCTTTGTGAAATAGTTCTTAAAATATCATAATAATATATCATTTATGAGAGTTCAAAATAATTTTCTGTTTTGACCTATGACCTACCAATGACTTCGAGGGAGTAGTTGTAGGAAATGGCTCCCTGTCTGTTATTAACAACACAAGAGTATCTCCCACTATCACTCTCCTTCAGTTCCGTGATCTTCAGTGTCCAAGATGGCCGTTTGGAGTTGTCATCATCGGTGGAAATGCTATTTCCGTCCTTCAGCCATGACACTTGAGGTCGAGGGTTACCAACAGCCTTACAGACAAATCTGACAGAACTGCCAACTGGCCTCTGGTAATCTCGCTTTTTCATTTTCTCTGGCTGTATAAACTTTGGCTTTGCTGCAATATGAGTTAAATATCTTCTCAGTATAACTAGTCTGTGGTCCCTCGGGCTCTATACCAGTATCACTTGCTATCACTACATTTCACTATGAGTATTGGCAAAACAATAGACAATTTCCATTTTCCAGCACTTATTTCACTGCAAATTAAATTTAGCGACTCCAGTAGTCTGTGAACAAATGATCAAAGCCCCAGGTGGCAAATGGAAAATTCAATTCTATACTCTTAACATATTGTTTCAGAAAATGTTATCAAAATTTGTCACTGAGCGAGTCAGTAGAACATGTTTGTGCGAGACAGAATGCATCACTATTTAGATAGTCCACATGAAGAACAATGTTAAAGGGAAGGCAACTTGTATAATACTTACACCATTCCTTTGAGAGGTCTTCTTCTGGTGTTTGTGGATAAAGATTATTGTCTTGTTTTACCATACCAGTTTCCTCATCTGAAAAATACAAATATTAATACTGATGAATACAGACATTTCTGAAATACTGTTCTTAAAACTTTACTTCTTCAACAACAAATATCATACTTAATTTTGATTCTGAATACTATGCTTGTATACTCTGGATTTTACCGTCCTAATAATTCTCCCTCCTCCGCCTCCTCCCTTCCTCCTCCCCTGCCTCCCCCATAGGAGCATTAACATAACTTCCATTTTCTGACTTAAATCATATTGTCTCAAATATCCAGGTTCTCACCATTTTACAGGAAACTAGCTAGAGCTCCCTACTTAGAAGAGCATTTAAAATATTATTGTAAATTGAAATTTTAACACAGTAAATTTTCTTCCCAGTGTGACATGGGACCATTTGGCCTAATGTTTGGTTTCTTTGCTGACAAACTCAATCCTATAGTGCTTGTACCTGGGGAGATGAGGGGGTGCATGTGTTTACCCATCATGCCTTATCACTAAACAAGTACCTTGTATCAACAGTGCCCTCACTGTCAGCCATTTTGAATATCTCCATTCCCAGGGAACTTTGATAATGAGGGAGTATTTTTTATCTGGCTCCTGGGGTGGGGCTGAAATATCATATTCACCATGTGGCCCCTGCCTGTGTAAATGTACCAGTGTCTGTTAACCAACTTCAGTCCTGCAGTTCTGGTGTACAATTTTTTTCATAACTCAAGCTAACATTACTTCTTGTTTGCACAATATAGTGACTTCTAAACTTTGCCTACAATACATGATTGTCTGGATGATTGTAAACATTTTGATGTTTATTATGAATTAACCTACACACACAAGATTTCACTGCCTTGTTAAACCTCTGCTTCTTGTCCATTGGAATCAACATGCACAGTATTTGACATTTACTGCTGGCTGATAACCTGGGACAAATTTCTCAGCATTTTCTCCGCAGTTTTTAGTGCCTTTTTGTCGGTACAGCTATTTCTCCGAAGCAAAGTTTATGCATTGTTTTTAGTTTTGTAGGAAACTTTTATTTCTCTAACTTTAAACAATAACGTTTAACCCAGATGTAAGTAAATCATTAAACTAGAAATCTCTTGAGATGTTCCAGGTCTAAATCAGTTGTCATGGATACAAAATCAAAAAAGTTTTACTTCGTATCTATGGATACTGTATATCTAAGAGATGTGTCGACAATGTGAAATATAGAAACAATACCTAAAGAGAATTTTCTTACCCACTAATTTGTGTAGTCGGCAGAGTATTGACAAAGTATCACCTGTATATTTCATTTAGGTCATGGTGCCAAATTACTGTGTTGATGTCCATAACAAATATGCAATAAACGAGGTGTGGACCACGTTAAGTCATTCTATTATCTAATATATGCATCAAATGCACTGCACGCATGATTAAATTGGCTCATAACGCTGCCAATTTGCGTAATTTTTATGACACAACCTGAAAAGCTTATCAGCTTCCGAGAATTACCATACAAAACTCACCCATTATATGAATATTAATAATTCTATCACAAAAGTTATCAAGATTTATATGTCCTTCGCTGGAGGGCATCATTTGGATTGCCCGATTCTTCCATGATGCTGTGAACCTAATTATATTAGGTAACATGCATATTTGTGTGTGATGTTCTTATGGGTTTTTTTCGAAGTTTGCGTGATGCCCTAATATCTCATTTCCTATAATAATAACCTAGGTGTCGGCTGCTTGCTGACCAGATGGCACTAGATTTAGGTTTTAAATTAAATCTTGAGGTACAGATGTGTATTACTCAAGGGATTTCAATAAGGAACCATACACATTTCAACATTCTGTATTTACTGATAATTAGACAGCTAATAGCCGCGAGTGTTGGCTCTACCTCATTTTTACTCAAGTCCCTGCTGAAATAACTTTCTCACCATGGTGCCATGAAGCAATGTGAAATTTTCAAATGAAATGCAATTATCTACCATTTTCATTTAGTTACTACAAAATCATGCAGTCTTTAAAAAGCATAGGCATACAGACATTGTCTACGCCACCATTCACAAAGGCATTGCAAGGTATACCACCTAATCTTGATATCATATCAGAAATAATGGGAGATAATTGATTCTACTATTTACTTAGTAAAACTTATTGTTATAGCGTCACTTCAGTTTAAAACTGAACTCATGTCTGTGACAAATCATTTAAACAATGGACATTTTCTAGCTGCAGAAAAGCCCTTCCCTGATTGAATTTTACACCTGTTCATCGTTAAGGTGACAATAGTCGCAAATGAAATGTAGAAAATAAAATAGATATGCTAAGTGGAAAATGAAATATGTTATAAAACTTGTGATCCGTAGACATTACTCAAAGTTATAAAGCTTTGTAGGAGATACAAGGTGCCTAAATCTTTACTAATGCATTGGCTACTTAAATCCCCCTCGGTAACTAACATTTTCTGTTCGTCAGATTATCAGGAAGGATACGAAACGACATGGTTGTTAAAACCATTTTAAATGTTTCAACCATTATAATTGATGTTCAGATCAAGATTGGCTGCAATATGATGCAGCAACAATGTTGTTTCACGTTTCAATTGATTGATTGATTTTTTAGCGGATTGATTACAGGGGCTAATGTTATCCTAGATTTCCGTAGTAGGCCTTCACACCTCTATCGATTCTACTTATTAATTCTGCACAGAGCTATTATCACGGAATGATAAATAATTACATATAAACACCATTTCATGTCTATTTTATCACTGGGCTAACAAGCATTCAATGGAGTAGATTTCTCCTCATCAAAGATGCCTTTTTAGTGTAGAGAGGCATAGCCGTGTGAAATGGATTTAGTCCAGTAGCTGATCAATGATGAATAGAAGGAAAGTTTATGATTTGCTGATAAGGAAGTTTAATGTCAAATTAACACCTCAGTATTCTGTTTTTACCAATAAATAGCCAGGTTCCTTTCCATCTGACACTTCTGTAATACTACCTGTCTAAACCAGATTCTTGACTGTATTATATGGATTGATCCAAACTGCATCATACGCGTGGAAACTACAGAGATCCTAACCTTATCTCATTTTACCTGATTTTACCTGCCAAGACTGGATAGATCTTGACCAAGACAATGACCGTTACAACCAGAAATCAACGCTTAGATCTGGTGCTATTGTTGTAGTATGTAACTATAGAACCCCTACTTACTGTAGTTTGTTGTGCTGATGATTTTGTTACCAGTTTTACAGGTGTTATTTAGTAAGGGACACCTGTAAACAACAACACCCTACATCTTCCTTGTCAAGGAAATCTACCTGTAATCATAAAAATCTTTATATTCACCTGCCTAAGAATTTCTACCGAGACAGTATTTTGCATCATTTCTTTATTCTGAGACATAATTCTATTACACCCCCCCTATCAAACTTCCTCCCACTCTTAAACTCTGTCTCCATGACATTATACCTGTTTCAATACATTTTTCTTGTCTTCCCACCCTACTTCATCTACATACTCCATCTCCTCCAATCCCACACTGTCTGTCTCCCCTCCCTGTCCATATCTTACTTTCCTGCCTCCCCTGGGTTCATTCGTCCATACTCTACCTGCCTCCACCAGAGACACTGTATATAGCTCGGGGATATCTTTGGACATTCTATCCATTATAATTCCTCAGCTGGATTCTGGCCCTGATATTCTATCCAACTCCTACCCAGGTTTGTCTCTAAATCATATGCGTCTTTCCCAAAATATTTGTGTCATGTCGAAATGAAATACCCGGGAGAATTTATGGATACTGGCCTTTCTTGGTTTAACTGTATCAAGTATTGCGATTTTGTCTGACAGTTCCCTATCCTTCAGTACCGACAATAACGCTTCCAGTTCTAATACTGATTTGTCATGTTAGCCGATATTAACAAGACTGTTTTGTGTGACAAAGGCCTTGTATTGGATTACTACTTTACAATTCTAATTAGTGTATTTCTGTAATCTATCTTACATGCATGTGTGCCATTTAGAACAAGATTTCCCTCTTTACAAAGCCTTGTAATGTGATTAATTATCGTCTATTTCAAGCCAATAGTAACGTAAGCTACCTAGCAAGGTTTTAAATCTAATTTGTCCCTGTTTGTGCATTTTTTGCCTGTTACTGCAAGTTTAATGTGTTAGAGTCAAGCAGTAGGATAAAATTAAAAGGCAATTGCTGTACTCTTAAAACAACATATTCTTATTCTGTATCCATTTTTGGGAATTAACAACAAATTTCAGGTAACAAAAAATAAACTGAAATTATAAAGCACATTCTATCAAAGGCTAATTAATTCCACTAAGATCAACTTTTGTAATATTAAACAAACTTCAGGGGAGTGAAGGAGACATGTTGTTATCTATGTATAGTATCTTGACTGTATAAAATCGATCAGTTTTTCTAATGAGTTAAACCGAATGTGCTTGTAAAACTTTTTAAATATTCAAACTTTATAACAAACAGACTTTGCCAGTAGAAGCATTTCAGTAATCCAACCTTGTTTCTTTATTTTACGAGTTAGTTGCCTGTAGTGTTTCAGTCTAAAATTGTAAAAATAAAGTTTGCTTACTGAAGTTTGTGTTAATTTTAACATGTAAACAATTATGCAACAATGTGCACAAAAAATTAAAACGGAACAGAAAGTACAAAATATTTTGTGTAGTGTATATGATAGCCAGCTGTATTGTGTAATTCTAGACCTACCACAAGATCTGGTATTTTATGTGAAAATTATTCAACTAAATATCAGCTGTATCTTCCGATTCACAAAGTCATCTGCAATCATTTTTGACACGCTGAATTTATTTCCCGTGAATTATGGGATTGATCAGATGATCTGCGGTATTTTACCTCCTAACCATTTCTCACCTGTCTAACGATTAAGCGTCTCAAGAGTGCTACTGTTGACCTGAGACTTGGCTCTTCAGGACTATCATTTAAGACGACGACTGATCCTCCTCACTAAGAATACTTAGAAGTATTACAGTCGACGCACAAAA